TGAACTTCTATTTATATTTTTGTAAGTTTAATGTCCCAAACTGCATACAGTAAACCAGTTCAGGCCTCTGGAAAGCATCTCATCTAGGTTTCCTTTTTACAAAAGGTTGGACCAGATGATCTTTCAAGGTTCCTTGAAAGAAATTTTGAAACTTATAAGCATATAGTCTAGTCACTCACCCCATCACATTGAAAAGAACTGTCCCCAAATTCCTAGAGCCTACATGAAATGCCATGTCAAATTGACTGTAAGCCACCAATAACCACTTTTCCAACATAGTATTTTTTTATCGGTTGCCCTCATCCATCCTTACCTTTTAATGATTTCATCTAGGCCGTACTTCTTTAGTTACTTATAAAAATCACCAGGGAACAGAATCAGAAGCCTCACTAAAATCTATGTAAGTAATTTTTCCTGCTTCATCTGTATCTATATATTGAATATATAACATATTGAAGAAGAAAATTAGTTTGGTTTGGCATATGTTCTTGGCAGAGACATGTCAGCAAGTTTTTATCACCTTATCATGTTCTAGGCCTTTAAAAACTGCTTAATTAATAATTTGTTCCAGAATCCAGGGGTGGAAGTTAGTTAGGCTACGTGGCTACCTTGGGTTCTCTTCTATCTCTTTTTCTAAAAGCTGTTTGTTATGTTTCCCTTTTTCAGTCTACCATCTCCTCTGTCCTCCATGAGTTTTCAAAGATATCTGAAGTACCTGGAAACAATTCAGCGCTTACTTGGGCTAGTTCCTGAATTACTTCAGAAGGTAGATGTAGGAAATGTGAATGAATCTACCTTATCCAAGTATCTTCACTTTCTTAAAAATTATTTTGTTAAATATCCAAACAGCAGGAACCTTTCTTCTGAGTTTTGAAGACTATCTGATGTTTCAGAAGTGTTAGAAACTTTGGCTTGTCTGCGTGATATTCATAATATTTATTACTTGTGGTCATCCAAATTAGCAAGATATGTGGTATGCTGGCTAATGAACAAGTTTGCAGCTCTGAAAAAAGTAAGCTAACAAAGGAAGTGCTAACTAATTAATTTTTTAACATAATCCTTAAGAGGCAATTGCAACCTAGTAATTCTTTTTAATGCTACTACATAATGGGTTTTGCTAGTTTGGGGTCAAAACATGATTCGGATCATGACAGGATGACACCATTTTTGGAGAAAGAAGAGAATAACTTTATGGAATCTAAAATCACTTCTGCAGGACATTCACTATTTGTTCTGGCTAAGCTATTTCTAAGGCTGGGCAAAAAACAAAGATGATGAATAAGTAAGGTTAAGTTTTATGCTATCAAGTGTACATAGAAGTACAAAAGATAAGTTCTGGACTGAAGTCCAAAATAGTTTTGCCAGTGACTTCAAGTAGATTAAAATCTTAAGAGATTGTCTCACAGTCTTAGGGAATATAAAGGACTTTTAACTTTTGTCATCTAGATACCAAGGAACTAGAATAAGGTGCACTAAATAAGGCATAAAGTTAATGGTAGACGTTCCTACCACGCTTTAGCCATTGCTTTCTTACATCTTCCTGTATGAAAATTTAAAAATTACATGTAAGGTGGATGTAAGACAGCAGATGAGTAGTAGTATAAGATAGACACAGACATCCTTGGATTTAAAACCAAATGTGGACCCCAAAAGTTCAGTAATGCAGAAATTTTATTTTTTTTTAAATTTGCAATAATCAACTGGAAACCATCACAATAATCTAGCATTTGCAGAAAATATGTTACAAATAGCTTTTGCCTTCAGGGATTATTTCCAGCTCTGTCACTGTCTTGCTTTAAGATCTTAGACAAGTCACTTCAGCCTACTTACGCTTCCTGGTACCAAAAGAAGGCAATCAACCTCTAGTGACCCTCCACAGATGCTGTAATACTTAGTTCTTGCTGAGGTACCCTAACCCTTCAGAGTAGCAGAGTCCCCTATTGCTCTCCCTGCAGGGAGTCTGGTACCTCCCCAACCACCAGTGGTAGTTGAGTTTCTGGTGATCAGCAAGTAGACCTAGCTGCTGAATACACACTATATGACTTATAATAAAATAGAAATTATATAAAAAGAGATTGAGGAGTTGAGTAGACTAAAAAGACGAGAAGAGAACAGACAGATTGGTATGAGCTTTAAGTCATTTAGATCCTACTTAATCTGTAAACAGCAACTGCTAACCTACAATCTACTCAATATAAAAATGCAATACTTAACCCTCAAACTTGCCTTCTACTTTGTCCATCCAGGCCTGGTAAGAGTAGTGGGCTCTTTTGGGTGTTGGGATGTTATCAGGTATAACAGACAGCTGTCATGGGTAGATTTGGGGTAAGATCACACTGTGGACGGTCCCTGGTTTCCAGCGGGTGGTCTATAGGCTCTGCTGGTCCTCAGTCCTCCACTGCTGCCACAGCTTCCTGCAGCTTCTCAGGGCTTATGGAGCGGGAGGCTCCAGGCTGACCTCAGGTCCTATGAGTCAAAATGGCAGTCTCCCTTGCTGCTGTGGAGAACAATAAACAGCTTGCTTTCATCAGTCGCCCTCTCCCTACTCACAGAGTCCCACCCAGCTAAAATTAGGGGCAGCCTAGCATGGTAAGCCTAAGCACTCCTAAGTGCCTTCAACTACCACAGGCAAGCAGGCAGGTAGCCTCTGCAACACGGGACCATCTGCCTTTGTGAGCTCTGATCTCTCTCTGTAGCAGATGACAGGAGTGATGCCTGAACTGACAGAGGACATGCATATTTTTCATACAAGGCAAGACACAAAAGGGACGTAAATTCCAGTGTTCCCAAATAACAGATGTTCATAAGCCTGGTAACAAGTTAGTACTTCGCTAGGGTATCACAACTTCTCACATGCAAAGCAGTAAGACATTCAACCCTCAGCTGCACCTTGAAGTAACACATTCATGCTTCCACCTGTCATCAGGGTGGCATCCCATAATCAAACTGCATCTGACTATCTCCTTTGTTGCCAGTCCCAACAGCGTACGTGCCCAAGTTCGATATCCAGATCTGCAAGAGTTCCTTTTCAAGAACAGCAACAGTAAGCAGCAAATAAAAGCAGCTTACAGCCAGGAAGAGTGAAATTGATGTTTCTTTGGTTGAGCTTCATCTGACCCACTTTGTACATCTATCTTAGGATGAGTTCAATCATGATACAGAGATGCATACTTCTCCCCACTGACTATAACAAGAGCGTAAGGCAATTAATTCAGGTGCAGACACCACTATGTGGACATTTATTTTTAGTCGCGTCTTACAAACCCTTGCCATTCTGCAGAAACCTATGACACACATGGTTTAGTCTCATCAGTCCCCTTTCCTCAGAAATTGAGTTACAGCTGATTTCCTGTGGATCCTGACTAATACTGTATGGGTACATCTTTTGTGCTATATAAAAGAGAGAGCAGGACTGAGCTCAGGGACCGGAACCAGCACCATACAGGTGTCCTGGCTGTGCTCTGGGCTGCTCTAACTAAATCTCTCCGCTACAGACCAGATGCAAAGAGGCCATACCTAAGCTGTGTGAACATGAAGACACATAAATGCCATGAATGCTATGTGAACAGGAGACCCCCTAAGCCTTGTGAACATGAGCCAGTCTCTGTATCTTGACTTTCTTCTCTTGGTAGAGCTTATGCCTCCTTAGATGCATGCAAATCAGATATTGCAGAGTACCATCTCCCTGAAGTTCTCTCAAGACCCTTCTCTTTTCTAGAGGAAGGTCCTGTAATGGACTGGAAATCCTCTCCAGGTGTACTCAGCCAACAGCTCCTGCCTCAATGGTGCCAAGTGGGGACCATTCCCCAAAAATCAGCTTTGTTCACCACTTCTTCAGGGATTTTTATTAGTGCCATTATTACTACACCTTTGTGAGTGGCTCCACCAGTCCCTTTTAATGTAGCTACTGACTAAGGAACTCCTCACTAGCAAATATTCCAAGACCACAATATTTGCACAAATAGTACAGCTATTTTTCAGCTCTGTAACGGCCAAATGCAGACATTAATGGAAACAGAAAGACTCTGCTGACCACAATGAACTTTGTGTTAGGACTTTTAACTTCTTTGTTAAAGGATCGCTGAGCCTTTTATAGTGCAGGTATACACACTCATGCTACTAGCTCAGATCAGACCCTATACTAATTTTAGTTACTAAACATATGTATTTGGAAAATAACCATGCCTTCCCCTGATTATATAAAAATAGGTGCAATCACAGATCATAAATGGTATTCTGAGAAAAAGAAGTAAACACTACTTAAAATAATGGAATACATTACAGAAAACAGTAATTTAGAGTTTTATAATTCCTTTCTTTTTCAAAGAAATAATTATATACACTTCATCATCTTCAGCAGTATTAAAGATGTTATAATTTAGGATAACTTTTATTAATAATCACAGTAGTACTACAAAGTGTTATTAATAGTAGCTTTACACAGCGCTCTGGGAAAAGAAACAAGAAAGAAGGTATATGATACTTCTTCTACTTCAACATTTCCAGAAAACATGTATTTTAAAAATATTTTACAGGTTAAAATACTGATAATTCTATATTTGTCTCTTTAGTAATACTGTGAAGTAATGTCTTTGCCATCTTTATTGTATTTTTTGAACTACATAACAATAATTATTTAAAATTATATCAGTCACATTTCATTTAAAAATATAGAGTCTGAGTCCCTAATAAATCATTCTGGTTTTTCAAGTAACACAGATAAAATTAACTTTGCTAATCTTGACTTGTTTTATTATACCCTTATGTACAATTTCTATCCCTCTCTCTTTTTAAGTACAGAATCTATACAGTGGAAAGTGTTGGGCAACCTTAACTATAGTTATTGCTGCCAACTCTTCCTATAAAACTTACGGTGAAATACTGGTATAATTAAAATTGATGGCAATGCTCACACTGATTTCAGAGAATGAAAGGAAAGAGAAGAAACACTCCCTGAAATACAGTAAGGTCCCCACAATAAATTTTTATATTTACATGGGAAGCACTAGTAATAACATTTCAGGAAATCCTACAATAAATATATTATAGGCAAAATACATATATAAATGTGTATATATATGTATGTATATAAAGATATAGGTAAAAAGTCAAAATGATAGGATTTCACTTAGATATGGGTCTATCTTTTTAATCAGTGCTACTAACACTACAGAAGAATGTTTGGAAGGGAAGAAAAATGAAGTATAACTTATTCAGCTGGAACCATGAGGAAAATACTAACCACTAAAGCACATAATGTAATTCCATTACTTAAAAAGTTTTCAGGGGACCAGGATACCTGTTATTGTTGCAAAAGTGCCATGGGATCTTGTCACTGAAAGATAAAACAGCAGTTCAACCACAGTTCTCATTTAATAGCAAGCAAGTCCTCAGTCTTCAAAGACTTACGTATACAATTAATTTTATGCAGCAGTAGTCTTGCTTCAGACCACAGAACATTTCATAATGCTTAAAATTAGGCATAATATATTTAACTCTTCACAGAATCGATACCTACAGCGTACTTTGGAAAGCCATAATGAATATACTTCTCAAATTTAAAAAAATGTGTGATCCTTCATGGGAAAGTATCAGTTTTGACCTGCATTTTTTACTCACATAAAAGGAGTATTTCAACAGTCTGTGTACTATTTCTTTTATGAATCAAATATTTATCACACAAAGATCACTGCCATCTTAGAAACTGTATTTTAAAATCTTTCCAATTACGTTACTAGTATCTTCAATTCGCAAATTTTTTTTTAAATAAGAATTTTGCTTTCAACTTTTCTCTCTGATTTTTCAACTTGACTTAAAAAAAGTAAATCTTGTTAAGTTTGAGGGAACTTGTTACATATGCCAGCAAGGTCTTTTTCAGCTAACTGCATAGAAACAGTGAGGGAAGACAGTTAGTGTGTTAGAAAGGTGAATATAAATTAATGCTATGAGAGGTATTTGGGGACACATATCTTAGATAAATTTTATTTTTTTTTCCTTTTAAATGGACTCTATCATGACAAACTTTCAAGTAACTTCAGCAAGATGAAAATATTTGAAGATAAGCTATATTTATGGCCTAGGTCCTAAATGCAAAGATTGCTGTGAACTCTTATTTATGAGCTGAATGGTGTTATCTAGCCACAAAACGTTCACATTTTCAGTCTTACTAGTGGATGAATATTGACTATCTGGTAATTAGTTCCATTCCCATGATCTCCAAAGCCTATAAAATAAAAAAAAAAGCCTATAAAAAATTTCCGTAAACTAACAGCACATTGTCATCTTAAGGCTTCTTTCCTTGAAACTGATCTCTTATCTGTTTGTTGTTTGGTTCTTTTTTTTCCTTTTGGAGGAGGGATAGGTAGAAATTATGGAAACATTCAAGGTCGGGTTGGACAGGGCTCTGAACTAGTTGAAGATGTCCCTGCTCATTGCAGGGGGGTCGGACTAGATGACCTTTAAATGTCCCTTCCAACCCAAACTATGCTATGTTTCTATGATTCTATGATTAATAGTCTCTCTAGCATACAAAGCAGCTTTGAAAATCCCTGAAGTCATCTCCCAGCCTTCACCATAAACAACCTTGATGCAGGACCTTTGAGACTCTGGATAGAGATCAAGGTATCAGCCGGCCAACTTTAACGACCGTCCAGTTTTATGCAATCACCCTGTAGTTTTCAAAGTGCGCTAGGATTATTTTGTTTTATCACTTTCAACAAAACTTGTTTTCCTTGTGCTTATATCCTTATCTGCTTCAGAGTGTTTGCCATGTAATCATTGTCAGACAGATTGCTCTCACGTCTGTTAAAGTAAAATACAAGTGATATTCTTAAGAGGACCAATGTAATTTTGAAGGGGCTAAAGAATGCCTGGCTTTGTGAGACCTTCCATTTCAATCTTCTGTCTGACTTTGGGCAGAATTTAATCAACAGTCCAGTTCTTCACCTACAAACCCAAGCAGTGATATTTCCTGTCTTTTGATTAGCTTGTCTGATCAGCTCCTCCAGGAAAGTACCAAAAATATTGTTAGCACAGTGCCTAGCCCACTAAAATCTTACTTTTGGTTGGAGCTCACTGTCAAATGTACATACGGTAAATGTCAGACCACCCCTATGCTATGTCTCATGAAATGGGGTCATGTATATAAAAGGTGGCTTGCCAGCCCCTCCCTCAGTTCACAACTGGCTGGTCGTCACCTTCCCCAATCCAGTTTATGCAGTATTTGAAGTCCCAAAAGACAGAGAAGCATGATGGGTGGCCCTCAGGCTGGATGACTGAATCCATCTCTCAACTCTTATTCTATCTAAAATACCAAGAAAGGGTTTAGATTGAATGTAGCAGGAGTTAATTTAAGCTGTTACAAGAGTAAATGAATGCTGGCACTAAGCCTAATGCTCTTGAGGGGACTGGAGTTGTAGCAGAGAGCAAATCCCTATTGGAACTTGGCCTAACGCTCTTAAAAGACACTGAGATGTGGAAGTGGACCTTCAGGCATGTGGAGCTGTAGGTTTACTTGGTATTTTTGCTTTTGACTTTGTAACAAAACTTGGAAGAAATGAAGTTTCTGCCAAACATGATTTCCTAAGAATCACAGGAGTCACAGAGTTTTTATTCCATGGTAATGTGTTTTTGTCTTTTGACATGCCTTCACATTATGTTCATTATGCCTAACAAGAAATGACTGCATTTAAGTATTGTTATGTAACAATTCAGTGGAACATTGAATCTTACAGGGAAATTACATTCTTAAACATTTAAGAAAATATTTTATTAGGCTTTTCATTTGCTTTTGCAAATTTTCAGCAATGCAAACATCTCTAGAACAAAGTCTGAAGTCAACATGTAGAAAGCACTTGTTAAAAAAGCAGGTATGTCAGCTTGCTAAATGCAATGATTTCTGCTTACAAGAGCCAAGGAAGAGCAAACTGTGCCGGGTGGGAAAGGGAGCCTCTGAACTAACGTAGTAGTTGATGACATTTGTCACCATGTAGCTCAATTTTTCTGATGAAACTCCTGTTACATTTACCAGCATCGTTTCTATAGACTGCAGCGATCTTTGCTTTCTGTTATAAACTACCCTGCAGTAATATAGCATGAGGTGAAACAGGACTATGTCTTAATAGCCAAGGGTTTTCTAGCTACTTAGGCATACGTTCTAGCACCCACAAACGTATCTGCCTGGTTACTACAACACAGGTGTGAGCCACGTTAGCACAGCAGTACCTCTGCACTCCTGGCACGGCACACATGGAGTGAATTTACTGCAGGGAGAGAAGGGGTGGCTAAGGACACTTAACTTCCCCATCAGCATTGCGTGCTTGCAGTCACATGAGAACAGTTCTCCATTCTCACTGCAGTTGTATCTGTTCCCGTCAGGAATGTCATCTGAGGAAAGACAAATGACCTACTTACTCGTTCTTACTCAAAGGAAAACTGAAAATGCCTGGTAGAGTGCTGAACTAAACCTGTTTACCTGTGTTGTGGTCGTGTGTTCAGCATGAAGGGATCTGGCATTCAGAATTCAAATCTCTCAGCCATCCTTTACAATGTTTCTGAGATGTTGCAGCATTCACGAAGTGCTTGTTATTGGCCGACACAGACAGGGGAGCTCTCTTAATGTGTTTGTGCAAATATTCAGTGTCAAACTAGAAGACTGGGATGGAAAACATTTTGTCTGTCTAGAGGGAAGTAGAAATAGGGGATGGGAATTTGCTGAGAGTTTTACATCTCTACAGCAGAAGTGGGATTTTGCAGTGTGTGTTTGTGTATGATGATAGAGGGATTTTGCTGCTATGTTTTACAGTATCTGGGGATTAGAATGGATCTTCCCGTATGAGCTACTTTCTAGGTCTCTGGGGATAGGAAAAAGATTTTGCAGTGTGCATTAGTCTGTGGAGATGGAAACCATTCACCCTGCATGTTGCACTCTTGGGTGATTTTGTTATGAGCAGACATTTGTGTTCCCCAGAGAAGGTGTTTTTGAAGGGTTTGTATCCTGCTAAGGACTCAGGTGGCACATTCCTGAAGATGTCCCAAACACTTCACAGAATGACACTCGCTGAACAACACATGCTAATGGAAGACTGGATAAATTCTGAGATGTCATTAGTTAGATGACTGAAATTACTGTCCATGAAACTGAATTCATGACTCCAAATTCAGGTCAGGGAAGGAGAGTGAACTAAAATTACTTTAGCAGCACTGACAAACGATCACTGTTTGCCAGCAGATAGAGGGCAAAAAGGCATTTCCATGTTTCAGAGCCTGTACCACAGTGTTTGTAATGCTAACACAGTACTGGCTGTCGTATCAGAAAGAGGTGAAAGATAGTTTGCTAAAATGGACTGAGTACTTTCTGAAGGCCTTTAACCAAAGGCCAAAATAATGGGAAAGCGCATGCAGCAGTTCTCTCCCCAGTCTTTTTCCACATTCACATGGAGCCACGAGGTGAACTACTCTGAAAACGTGGATACTGGCACTGCCAGCCTAAAAATGACATTTAGCTTCCTCTCCGCTTTAGTTCATGTGGCTGTATCATCAATTCCCAGATGGCCCAATGTTTGAACATGATCAACTAACTAATGTTTGAGTGTGATCAACTAACTCAATCTAACCAAGGCCTAGAGAGCTTTGTTAAAGCCATGGTAGTGGACAAAAAAGCACTTTGAAGCATTCGCAGTGAATGTCTGACACAAGTGATTACCGCTGGTCAAGTCAATCTCTAATGCTTTTGAGTTATCACCTCTGCCATGACGGCTTCTGTAACCACTATCTTCTCTGATCCGTATTTCATGAGAAACTCTACTCTGCGTTTGAGAAGGATGTTCTAAACTTACTTGTGCTTTTTTGTTGTTTCTTGTCTGGAACATGCGCAGAGCAACACATCCATACACAATGTCGCCAACACTCAGGAAACCCCAACTGCACAGCACACGGTGCCAGGTCAGCCCTGCTAGTGCGAGCGCACCAAACCTGCCTCGCTCTGTAGACTGGGCTTCCCGCAGGGTTTCAAACCCACTTCATGACCCATTGCTCTTCACGTCCTCATCAGTGGCTTAAAGCTCTGGAAGAAGAGCCGCGTCGGCGAACAGCGTGAAGCTGAGCTCTGTGAGGCAGCCAGGGGCACCCCTGGGGACCGGAGGACCACTTTTCACTCCCTACCGCGCAGGCAAGGCCTTCGGTGGTCCCTTCCCTGACGCTACGGAACGCCTGGCCCCTGCCACCGCCTGCCCTCTCCACCAGGAACCCGCCGGGCGACCCCGATCCTCGGCCAGGCCC